ACAAGTTTATCTGTTATCTACCTTGAATATAGATCTGATTTTAGAGATAACAAGTTTATCTGTTACCTACCTTGAATATAGATCTAATTTTAGAGATAACAGGTTTATCTGTTACCTACCTTGAATATAGATCTGATTTTAGAGATGACAAGTTTATCTGTTATCTACCTTGAATATAGATCTGATTTTAGAGATAACAAGTTTATCTGTTACCTACCTTGAATATAGATCTGATTTTAGAGATAACAAGTTTATCTGTTAGAGCTTTCATATTGGTCGCATAGGGGGAATCCCCATTCCATTTCATTTCATGGGGAAAATGCGACCAATATGAAAGCTCCCAAAAAAGACCTAAATTCCCTACATTTCATAAATTCTTACAGCAAAAGACCTAAATTCCCTACATTTCATAAATTCTTACATTTAAAGACCTAAACCCCCTATAGATACTTACACCCTAATCACCCTTCATTTCATACACCAAAAAACACCTTCAATCAATTTCCTACATTCCATCAAAAAAGCATATTAAAATAATTTTTTTTTTGAAATTTTCTACTCAAATTTTAAACCTTAAAAATGGCAAATAAAATACTAAATCCAATCTTTAGATTATACGATCCAATTCGTTATTCATTTAACAAGAAAAAAGAGGATTATATTATCATCTCACCCACTGTTGGTTCGAAATAAATTCATTATCGAATGGGTTGCTTCTTTCCGATGCTTATTTCAGATGCAATTTCAAAATAAAAGATGGAACTCCCAATTAAAATCGTGTTCCACAAACTAATACAACGTTAGAAAACAATTTCTTTCCATCTTTATTTAGCGATATGGTTTTGGAAGCTGGTTCAAATCCGATAGAAACAATCAAACACCCTGGGGGATTCGACACAATGTTGAAAACAGTTTTATATCCTAAAGATTTCGATTCAGTCTCAGGTTGGATACCTGATGTTGGTGATGGAAGTATTTTAAAGGAACCGGTAAGAAATCGTGCAAATGATGCCGATTTAGCTAGAGTGAGAGTTGTTGCTCGAAATACGATAGAAAGAGTAGGACGAGCAGTTAATCATGGATTCGAAAAACGATTACTTCAGTATAATAATGTTGTTGAGAATAATAGGTGGGGTAATTACGTAAATTGGAAATTATATCCTTTATTCGGTCTGTTTTAACATAGAAAAGTTTCCATAGGCTTACCATATAAAATTCATCTACAAAGAGAAATAAACGACGATAAGATATTCTTTGTAGAGAATGGTTCAGATGCAAAATTAGAAATAACGAATCTCCAACTTTTCATACCCGTAATAACACCATCAATTGAAGTAGAAACGAGAATATTCAACTCGTTAACTAAAGATATTGAAATAGCTTTTCTTTATCGTAACACTGTAGGTAGCATGACTTTAACTGGAGAATCCACCACATGGCCAATCACTAACACTATTAAACTAGCAAGATATTTAATAGTTGGTTTCAAGAACTTACCAGATTCTCAAACGAATAACAATAATGCCTTTAGAGTGGCAATGAACCAAACTCAAGATCCTTTAATCCATAAAGTTCAAGTAAGATTAAACGACGATAATTATCCTAACCAACCTTTAACAATTAATCCAACCTCAAAGGATTATAATGAATTGTATAGAAACTATAAAAATATGTGTGAATTATTCGGAAATCTACCTCAGTTTGAATATGTAGATTTTGCACTTAATCATCCAATCTTCTGTTTTGATCTATCAGCTCACCAAGAAGATCTTTTCAAAACAGGAGTGAACATAAATATTCATATTGAAAAAACACAAGGAGATGTAACAGGTTATTGTTTATTATTGGAAAAAGCAAAACATTTAATTAAAATAGCAGATAGAAGAATGATAAGAATTGAGTAAAAAATACACCCTTAAAAATGAAACCAGAAACTTTAGTTATGAAAATAATAGAAGCTGTTGAAACAGATTCCCCAACTGTAATAACTTTCAACGGTAAAAAAATCAACATAACTAAAAAACTTATTGATAAATACAAATATTGTAAAGTCAGAGACGATATAGATTTAGAAAGAATTGATACAAATGTAAAAAAAGGTGGATTTATATTTTCCTTACCTTTAATATTTGCTGGTATTACCGCGGCGGCTACAGTCGCTGGTGTTACAGCTGATGGAGTCAAAGCTGTTAACGCAAAGAAAGCAGCTGGTGCTAAAGCCGCTGAAGAACGTAGACATAATTTAAAAATGGAAAAGTTGGCCAAAGGTTCAGGAGTGGGAGAAATGATAGGCACAATGAAAGAATTTGGAAAAAGATTTAGTGAAGAAACCAAGAAAACTGTTAAACAAGGATTAAATAAATTAGTAGATAGTATTGACACAGGGGAAATCAAAGTCAAACATAAGGGTAATGGAATATTTTTAAAAAATATACACACTGAAGAAGGAATATATCTTTCGAAGTATAAAGGAGAAGGAGTTATTTTTGGAACAAATTGAAATAATAAAAAATGGGCAAAAAAATTTAATCATTCAGAAATATTTCCTAATAACCCAATGCTCATGTGTATATGCGGTAGTTCCGGTTCTGGGAAAACTCATCTCACTTTTAACATGTTGACAACACCAAACCTTTTAGATTTCGATTCTCTGTATATCTACACAACAACACCAGAACAATCGTATTATCAATTCCCCAAAGCTTTAGAATATTTACCAAAGAAAGATGTTCAAGACCTATTTCAATATTACGAAGAAAACGAAGAAGAAGTGGAAATAAAAGATTT